CCATATGGCATCTCTGAATAATCATCTGAAATGTAAAAGTCCCAAAAATGTAGTACACGAACAACGTCCGTTTGAGAAGGCACAACATCTCCATTCAAGTAGAAGGAAATTGACCTGTCAAATCTGACAACTTGGCTTTGTCCCCGAAGAATTATCACCGCAAAAATTTAATCTTCTTCTATCTTCTTCTATGATGGGCGCTGACATATGAGATGAGGTAAAGTTTTATTCTCAACAACAAAGAACAACATCCACAAAACTCATTAGAGGGTAAGTCAAGCTTTCTTGCATGGCTTCTCAATATGCAGTGACCTATCAGCACCGATACAGTAGTGCCAAATTGGTTTCGTTTTAGTTTTAGAATCTGTCTAGTACAAATTTTTTCAGTTTGAATCTCAGGCGAGTCGTGCGATCTGACAAGAATCATCAATTATCCATGTTTTCATTGTCAACCGTAGATATTTACACTTAATTACTAATTCAATCGTTGCATGAGTCATACTAATATTCCACAAGTCAATTTCGGATAGTAACGTGTCTGTTTTGACAAGTTCGATTGCTTACCTTGTCTATATGTATTGGATACTGACCAGACAAAATCTGTTTAGAATAGTCCGGTATTCTCGATTTGTATCATAGATTTTGGTTGAACGAAATTAGTGTTAAAAACCGTATGACTCAGAACTCACTTTGATGCATAGTGCTCCTACCCCTGCCTGAAAGACGCTGCATTGATCAGGCTGATGCAGTGAGACACTAAGTCCCAATTTGTTAAAAAATTTTTCACTTTCGACTCAGTCCTTTAGTTTGAAGCCATTGGCGTATGCTTCAACCCTAAGGGTCTGCTTCACACATTACGAAGTAGTCCTGACGGGACTACTAACTTATCTTTTATTTATTTATTGACTTTACAGGTTTAAAGCCCGATATCTCGAGATTGGTGCTATATCGGCATGTAGAGAAACGGAATAGTTATTAACAAAAATGAAATTCAAGAAAATTCGTTGTTAAATCGCAGGATCATAAACGTGATATAGGTTTCAATTTTTGTTTAAAGAGACGCTGCAATAATCCGGTAGTCTATTTACGGTACCCATTTCTATTCTGTAGTATTGAGTGTTTTCTGTAAATGTGGCAGATTTGTCACTACAGCCTGGCAAAATTTGGGGCCTTATATCTGTTATTGAATGCTCTATCTAGTATTACCCAGTAAACAATTATTGGTTTGTTAATAAGTCCTTGCATATTTATGAAGTCATTCTGATTTATCTGTTTCGAACCCTCGAAACACACTTCGAACAGCACACTTAGTAGTGTTACAATCAATAATAAAATTTTACTTCGATGAAAAGTAATATAATACGGCGATCACAGTTTTCTATCATTGAACTCTGCGGAATAACTGTGCGAAAGTGCAAAATATTTTTAGATTGAATTTTATTTAAAGTATAATTTATCAAAATGCGCTCAATCAGAACGTCTTCAGTTCAAGCATCAGAGCATTTTGCATTTGAAATTAAAAAAGTTTATAATTTTTCATGTAGGCATCATTCGAAAGGATTATTTTAGTCCTTAAAGCAATCTTTCGAACTTCATAGCATTTTATTTTAAATATTAAATTCAATTTATAATATCGTCTGACGAACTATATTTTTCAATTTCATTTTAATCTGCCAATACAAAGATTTAATCCATTCATTCACGATGCATACTTGGTTCATGCTACAACATTCCATACACCGTGCGATGTCAACGGTCTGTCAACGGGCGCCAATACGTAGACGAAAACTGTGCCAACTACGGTTATTTCACTAAATCACTTGGGATGTTGGATGCACTACAGCAAATCCTATTCACAACAACTGAAATGAAAAGCGGAGAGTTTCTGTAATGATTTACTTTTACTTCTGAAATGTAATTTAAATTTCAAAATATTTTTATTACCAATTTCGTTTGTTACATGCACGAGTTGCAGGTGAGAAAAGTTAATCGATATATGTTATAACGAAATGAAAAATAGGCGCGATTAACGGGATGGATTGGATTGCTTAAAAAAAATAAAAGTTCAATTTCAAAATATAATACTTTTTAAGGAATAAAGTATTTTTTTTAATTTCTTAATTTTTTATTTAAATAAAAATTCATCATTCTTTATATAATGAATATCACACTATCAGTTATTTTATAGTTAAAATTTCTAAATACAAAATGAAATGCTTAAGCTTTAAAATATTAAGAAATATTGTAAGAAATTCTTCCCATACTTTGGGGTATTCATATTTCTAAGGTAGCGTAAATTTTTTTTATAAAATAGGTAGAAGTACTAAATTGAAGATTATAGAATCTATTGAAGCTAGGCTACATTTTTACGCCACATACGTTGCTCGGTAGAAATCTGAATGCAGAGTTAAATATCCACAAAATATATCAACTTTCATGCAATTAAGTGCTTTTTCCAGTTAAACTCACATAAATAAAAAAAAAAAACAAATTATTCGAGAATGGAAAGATGATTGACGAAGTACTTATTATTAAAATAATAACGCATCATTGATTTGCTTACTCCATAGAAGTAACAATGAAGTTCTTAGCAATACTTACAAACTTACTTACTTAGTTCGTCACTACATACATAAATCATCCTTGGTCGTGTCCAGTAACCTACTCCAGCCAGCTCGATTAGTAGCTTACTGCCACCAGTTGATAGTATCAAGTGCCTTCATATCCTTGCGGACGACTGCTACCATATTTACCACCAACAGGTATATATTCAAACTTCTTTCCAGCTGGAGAAGGAATATCTTATATCTTACGGAATAGTATATGCCAAATTTAGTTAAAACTTGATAGAAAAAATAAACTCTCCGAGAATGAAACAATAATTTTAGTATCAAAATAATGATGCATCATTAAATAAATAAGAACAAAAATGATAAAAAAAAATATAAACTTTTTATTTATTTGCTCTCCTGTACTTAATCATAGGAATTTGTGAAGACACTCTCGGGGCATGAGAATATCACGAAATTATTATTCAGACAGATATAATTAAAACCGCCGATAAAAGTTACTTCCTTAAATCTTGATATTCCTGGATTTACTTTGATATTGAAAATGTATACATTGACCACACTAACAAAAACTATACACATACCATCTAACGCTAGCTAGTATACGCAATTTTTAAATAAAAAACAGAAACAACAGTAATAACTATATATACATCAGGTGACAGTGTTAAATGAACAGTGTCAACACTAGGACAGAAAATGTTCCTTGATTTGCTGAATTGAAACGCCCCCAAAGACCGTATCATATGGTGTTTACATAGAATAAATTTATTCGTTAACAATCAAATACAACAACCTCTTTTAAAGGCCGCTGTATGTAATAATACGGTCTTTAAAAAGGTTTATATTTTCGATCGTGTAATATTGTGTAAGTACATCATAAATTTATTCTTTAACAATCATATACAACAACCTGTTTTAAAGGCTGTCTTAGATAATAAAACGGTCTTAAAGCAATTTAACACATACGGTCTTTTGGCAAAGAGCGTGTAATACGGTCATCACTTTTATTAATTCGGTCTCTGCTTAATTCCTTAACAGCTTAAAGTTGAAAAAAGCGTTATTAAGCTTTTGTGACAATTTTAAACTCCTTTTAAATATCCCTGTATATAAAAGGTTGTTGTCTTTGTTGGAGGTGGCTACTTTTCCTAGTGGCATCTAGTAGTCAGAAAACAAACTATGAATATGAGCCGCTGTACTTACAATTTGCTGAATAAAGTTTGAAAGCCATTGTAATTTTAAGCCATGCGCAGAAGTCATTACACACGTTTGCACGTTATTTTTGTAGTTTTGTTTGCTGTTATTTTAAAAATAAATTTTCTTTTTTAATAATACAAAAATATAAAAATATATATATTGTGTATTATTATTATTATTATTATTATTATTTACATACTACATTTGGAGTTTAGGAAGTCTGCAAAAGTTTTCCATAGGTTTCAATTTTGTGCTATTGCTCTCAACGCGTTAAACGATTTGCTCGTCTTCTCCTGACGGGCAGGAATCCCCTGGAGGTTCCAAGTAAGTACAGCATGCACGATACTTCTTTCTTCTTCTCTCGTTGTTTACGTTTGTTTGTTTACGTGTTATTTTTCATAACTCTTCATTTGAAAACGTTCTAGACCACTTTATGCCTAACATGTTGCGCAGGAATCGATATATCGTGTATGTTATATGAAAATACATTATTATGTTGCAGCTATTTGAGGCAGTGCACTTGAGCACTTTTGCTCTATATTAACTCGAGGTATCTTTAAAACCCCTCTTTACTCCTTGACTGGATTAATGTTTATCATTTCATCAGACTAAGCAATAATTGACCTTAGATCTGCATACTGCATACTTCTCCGAGGAGCCTGTACCCATTCTGAGATTCGATAACGGGGCGTTGGTAAGTCTATTAGTTTTTGCAAATAATTTCAGGGCTCTATCCTTTATGTATTTTTTGATCGGATCAATCTTGAGGTCCTTGAGGATGTCATTCGTCCTAATGTATCATGTTACCTTGAAAAGTCTTCTCAGAGTCTGACTTTGTGCAATTTCTAGCTGGCGAATCGTAGTGTTTGAAGTTTTGCTAAACGCTACACATCCATATACGAGTAGAAGTGACGGATGAATTATTTGGTTATATATCAGTTTCCTGTTCTTAGCATTGAGATTTTTTAAATTTTTAAATGAAGAACTTTGGCACAGCTAATTCTTTTTAGTTGAACATGTTTAAGCCAAGTGATTATGAAAATATAATTTCATACTATCTATGTTGCAGCGTGTAAACACTAATGCAATAAAAAACTACAAAACGTGCAACACGCAACCCTTTTTTTCCATTTTCGCGATTTTGCTTTCGTTGTCTGTTCTTGTTCAGTTGACGTTGAGAAGACACGCTTTGAGTTTGTTTTATTTATTTTGTACCGAAATTTTTACAAATTATTGTGTATATAGTTTTTCGAATATAAAGTATATTTTTTAAATATTTATTATAATATTAAATTCAAATGTCTGCGAAGGAGAAGACAAATAATGATTGGAGCGTTGACAAATATCGCACCGACTACGAGAGCGAGGAGCATTGGCAGCTGCGGAAGAAGTTCATGATAACCCATAAAGACAAATTCGATGAGGACCGCTTGGTTTGCCTGGCGCAAGTATTCACGAATGTCGAATTTATGGGCTGCAAATATCCAAACGAGGTAATGTGTTTGGTGGCTGAACTCTCGAAGGATGTAGCCAAAGAGTTTAGAAAGCAACGCGAAACCAAAATAAAACGAACTTTCATATCTGCCTCGGATGCCGCAGAGTCGCGTGCCAAAGGTAGAAAATCAAAAACTTAATATTATTTACGCATATTATATGTGAGTAGAAATTGAATTAAAAACAGTGTGAATAATAAATCGGGTTTGCCTTGTTAGGATATAGAACAGCGCAACGACGTTCGGGTAACGAAAAGGATGCCAACGTGCCGGGAAGCTCAGGCAGCAACACTAGAACCGCCAGAAGAAACAAGTTGACCTTTGTGGAATCAGCACCTGAGCAACAAAATAGGCCTGTCGATCTATTTGAAGGTTTGCTCTACAATGAATTCATTCTACTTCTTCAGGGCGGTCGAAATTGCTTACGTTTTTCTGCACAGCGTGCCAATATTCAATATAACGAAAAGGAGCTGGGTGTCGAAAATGGGTATACAGTTTTTAATATAAATTAAATTTATTTGTTGTTTTTATTTTTATTTTTCTTCTTGTTCTTGCTTTTAGTAACAAGGAGGCACATATATATATTGATGACAAATTGGTTTCGAAGTGCACAGATGTTGCATTGAAAATGGCAAAGAGAAATGCTTTTGACGAGGCATTGAAGAAGCTGCAAAAACATTGTTACACCATTCAGGTTTGTTGCTTTTATAAATAAATTCGAATACTTTATAAAAATATATTTATTTTAAATTAGAGGTAACTAAATATTCAAATATTTTTAGTAATTATATTGCGAGCTAGTGAATCACTTCAAAGCAATACTTTTCATAGGTACCCACTACCATTTTCGACAATTTTTACTACAGAGTAACTTCTTTTCAAGTTATATTAAGAATAATATGAGTGTCTTGTCAGAGTATATTGTTGTAGAAACAGTGAAAGTTACTTCAATTAAATTATAAATAACAAATTTCATTGGGGTATAATCAATTTTAATTTTTTTTTTGTACTCAGAAATATAAACTGACTGAGTCTTTAAAAGTGACGAACTCAGTAAAGTTTGACGAAAGAAACTATTGTATTCTTTTCAACCTAAGGTTGAATTTAAAGAATATATTAAAGCTCTACTATGAATACATAATAAATTCATTAATGTAGGCACATATTAGGCGCTATATAAACAACCTATTCAGCATATTAAATCACGTCTGTGTAGATACAATTTATTAAAAAAAATATCTAAGTAATGATGTTTAAGGTCAATTATGATAAAAGAAATTATTTCCTTCATACAAATTATTTTTCAATAGAAAGGTGTCTGTTTGGTAGTGAATTAGAACAACAAATTTTGTTTATTATTATTTTAAAACTAGTTGAGCCAGTGCACTTGAGCACTTTTACTCTCTATTAACTTTATAACCCCTCTCTACGTACGCCTTGACTGGATTATTGTTTATCACTTTAACAGACTAAGCAATAATTGACTTCAGATCTGCATACCTTCCCGAGGAGCCTGTAACCATTCTGACATTCGATAACGTAGTGTTGCAAGTCTGCCAGTTTTCGTAAATAATTTCAGGGCTCTATCAATTAATTAATTTTTTGACTGACCATAAAATAAACTATATCGAGTATTTGCAAATACTCAGCAGCAGTCATTCATTAATAATTTTCAGAGACTGCAAGTATCATTGATTGAGCTTATACTTTGTCAAATTCAAAGCTCAGAGTTAGTGTGAATTAGTCAATTGATCAAAAACCGTACTTGATTTGAAGTGTTCTAACTTGCAGTTTTGTTAATTTATTTTCGAAGTTAAAATTAACAATTTCACTTGCTGTGTTATGTTAAAATGAAGTCATAAACCAGCTATAGAAAAATCAAATTAGCTAATAATAATTTTTGATTATCTCTTTTGGTTAGTCTGTTCATATATACAGTGACGTATCCAGGGAAAAAATTAGAGGATATATCCCTTCATTGACAATATAATATAGATACAATGTACAGTGACAAAAAACATATTTTGTAGAGTATCCCTTTTATTTGATACAAGAACCAAGGATATACTAGATCTCCTACATATTTTTATATATCTAGAGGTACTTTAGTAGCTACTATATAACTCTTTAATAACTGCATATCGCTATTAATCTCACCCGTTCTGAATATGTACTCTTAATGATCCATTACTATATATCAACTAAGCTACATTTTTGTGTCTTGATTCTTCTTCTTCTTCTTGAGTTAGTGCTATTACGCACTTTTACTCTATAATGGCTGGGGGGCTTATCTCTACCCCCCATCCCACATTTATAACTGAGATTGAAATAAAAGGAAATTCGAAAAGCAAAATAGAATATATGAATAGAATATTAGAATGGATTATAATTATCATGTTTACATGATTATAAAATATAACATAACCTTTAGTATGAAGTTTTAAACTCTGTTAGTAGAGAAAGAAAGAAAATTTTATTGCTGAACTCATATCGTCATCATATCACATATATTACTGAACATTATTATAAACGCTCCTAAAACTACTAGGAGATAATATATAATAATATAATAACAAACCCTACTAATATATCTTTTAAATATGTTATCTCAGGCTAATCCCGCGCGTGATGCTATTAAAATCAGAAAGGAGAACAATAAAGTGGTGTGTGATATTATTAAATCTGAGACTGCGACATGTACAGACATGAAATTAGACCCAACAAACAAAGGCTATAAAATTATGAAATCAATGGGTTGGACTGGTGGTGGTCTTGGCTTGAAAACACAAGGACGAGAAGAACCCGTCGAGTAGGTTTATTCACAATTCATAAACAACAAAAAGTTATTAAATTTATTTATTCTAACAGTTATTTATTTAAAAATAATCGCATCGGCTTGGGAAGTAACCATACAAATTTAAATCGTCAAGATGTCACGCAAATATTTCAGAATTACATTAATTCAGATGATATACGTGAACTGCAGTTTTCATCAGATTTCACTAAAGATGAGCGCGTCATTTTGCATGAGTAAGTAATCTGTGTGAAAAATCTTTTGTAAAGATTGTAAAGATTCTAAAATTAATTTTTCATTACAGAATTGCTGGAAAGTTTCCTTTGAAATCCACAAGTTATGGCAAAGGCGAAGATCGGCATCTTATCATAAGCAAGAAGAACATAAGCAGCAAACAGATACTTGCAGAGATTTTGATAAATTGCAATGATAGCTACATCGATCAGTATCTAGTGCAGGTGCCAGAATCAAAGGGTTACCTCTTTCCCTCACACACTGCCAAATTAGTTTTGGACTCTTAATGCACCAACAGAAAATAAAAATGTTTCTGTTTTTTGTGGAGGCTCAACTCTGAAAAGGAGTTCACAAGTTGTGAAGTCGCAGTAATTCTAAAAGAAAATGTAAATGTTGCGCTGTTCCTTATCATATTTTAACAAATTAATTGTTGACTTAATTTAAAATACAATGTACAAAATGATTATTACGATTAATACATGAGATATATATTTAGAAATAAGCTTTATTTTTTAAAATCTTTTGGATTCAACATAATAATGTACTTATTTTATTAAATTGTATAAAATTACAATAAAAGAGACATTACATATGAAAATCCTAAGAGGCTTCAGTTGTTGAACTCTTCTCAATTGGTCATTTTTTAACTGCACCCAAGCGGCTAGGATCTTGGCTAGGGTACCGTACTTGTCCAGGTGCTGGCGGTGATATTGTGTTGATACCGGCTGTTGTTGATGTTGAGGGTAGTCCTGAGTATGGTGCAGCATATGCTTGTGAGTACATCTGGTAAGAAGCTGGTATTAGGCTTGGTGGGATCTGATGCAATTTCATACCAGGTGGTAGTACTGAAACTTGCTCTTGTTGTAAGTTAAAGAAATCATTAGGATTGCCTGGCGGCACTGGTGGTACTGTACTTGGATCGAAGCGTCTGTCCGTTTTGGCAACAGTTACTTGTTTTGCTTGAGAATGTGCCCATTTAATAGTAGCTTTACGACCTTGGAATACCAACTTATTGAAACTGCGCTCTGCAGCCAATTCAGCTGCTGAACGTTTTGTGTACTGAACAAAGGCGCACTGTTGGCGTGGCACTAATGCTATCGAGCGTATTTCACCGTATTGATAGAAATGATCACGTAATTCAGGTTCTGTTATCTCTTCTGGTAAATTACCCACGTACAGTGTAGTGATATTACGATCTTCCGGTGGTTCAAGTGTTGGCAAAGAAGCTGCCCGTTTCATTATTTTTTCAGCTACTGGATCATTTCGACCATAGTAGCGATCTTTGATATTTTGTTCACAAAGCGGATCGTCAGGTTCGTTAGGCTTATCATGACGGTAAGGGCATTCCTCACCACGTTTGCATTCACCCTTTACCCAAAACGAACAAATGTGTGGTCGATTACGTTTGTAATATGGCGCAGTACGTGCTAACTTTGAAAGCATTTCGTTGGCAGCTAAGGAACGTCCAACAGTTCCAGCTGCCTCTGTACCATCGCCGTCCGCTAATTCTCTATCAATATTTTGTATGTAATATTCCTTGTTGACATCGCTTTGTGGCAACGAGTCAACCACTTTTAATGCTGCATCGCGCACTTGTATGGGCAAGCCATACTCCAAGTCAAGCAGGCAAGTTTGGCAAACATTTTTCAAGCGCGCACAAGTTTGACAAATTTCGGTCTTCTTGAAACGCATACGTGCTCCTGGACACCAACGGAATATTGTAAACGGGCGCGTGCATATTTTGCACTCCTTGCCAAAACGCTCCTTAATCATACGCACGTAGGGGTTATCACCGAGACACGTTTGGCAGAGAATTGGAAATTCTGCATCTTCCCAGTTCTGGCGATTATAAGTATTGGTGGTTTTGGACATAGCCATTTTGACGTTTGTATTTTTAAGTCCGCAGTAATTATACTATTAAATGTGTTTTCACTTAATTTCCGTCGCACCAACAAATATTCTTCAATTTGTGGTAATTACACTTCGGAATGTAGTCACTGAATGCGCATCACACTAACAGCCGAGTTATATATGTATTTCTGTCAGGAAGTAAATGACAAACATTGAGAGCACAAATCTACATGGTTGCATTTTGTAAGAAAGATGCTATGTCAAATTTTACCTTTTCAGATTCTGCTAAGTTTTTTAAAATATTGCTAAAAATTTCATCAAATTTGTTATAGAAAATTTTCAAAGAAATTTTTTATATTATCTTTTTTTTTGAATTGTAGATATATGTCAATCACAAAAAAACAAATATTTTTTAGGTAATTCGAATAAACAATAATAAATTAAGTGTAGTAATAAATTATACAGCTTTAATAATATACAATAGCTATTTGCAAAAAAGATCAATTAAAGATTTATGAAAAAGTTAAGAAAGATGGTTTTAAAATAAAATAAATACATTAAAATAAACTCTGAACAGCATTTAGATATTAATTTAATATTACATAAATGAAGTGTTTTTATTTATTATAGTTTAATAACTTTTGTTAGAATTGTTAGTAGTTTTTTTATTAATGCACTTTAAAGAAAAATTTAGTTTTTATATTAGGTTTGTTCTACGAGCTACTCATAGTAAAACATGAGTAAAACAGAAGTAAAATTTACACAAAAATACTTGAAAATTTGCTGGTGGAACGCGCTTGTGTATGCACAGTGTTTACTCAAAGTTACTATGAGTAGCTCGTGGAACAGACCTATTATTTGATAGAAAATAAAATTTCATGAATTCTTCTTGTTTCTATCAATTAATGTTAATGTGATTATATAATCACTCTTCCAAGCATCATCTCGCACTGATTATGTGTTATTTGATAGTTAATATAATTGTTGTGAGGACTTACAGTTTTAGTTGTTTTAGTTTTATAATTTTGCTTTATTGATAATATTTCGTGTTCACAAGATTTTCTTAAAGTTAGAAATCACATTAATAAGTATTATATACATCAGGTTCTTAACATACAATTATGTATTTTCCTAAGATTATGACAAGAGACTTATTATAAAATATGTACTAGATAAATTTACAAATCACATTGACTATCGTCCCATAATCAATTAATTATAGGACCAATTTTATGATTTCATGCATTTCTGTTTTAAACGATTTAAAAATAGACCATAATGTTCCTAATTATTTTTTATAAAATATGACCTACATCACTAATAACAAAAATATGTCGTCAAGCGTTTGTATAATTTGTTTTTGTTCCAATGAATAGTGTTTAGTAACACTGTTAATATGTTTAATATTATTGTGAAAGTTATTGTTGTATACAATTTCATATAATTACATGTTAAGAAACATATACTGTTTGGCTATAGTTTTTATTACTAAAGTGTGCGGAATTAGAATTCAATTTACCTGTGGAAAAATTTGTTAAAAATGAACTGATCAGGTACGAAAACCTTGCATTCTACGAAATTCAGGCATGTCAATAAACTTAACAAAATTGACATATATCTGAAATGTGTTGTATGACTGCAATTTTTAAAATTTGAAGAAAATATTTTTCTAATTAAAGAAATTATTTCAAGAAAAATTTTATCTTTATTTTGACAACAGTAAAATGCATGAACCCAAATATTATTATATAATTTTTAACCTTATCTAATCCATTTTCAATGATTAAATACGTGAACTAATGTGAACTTTTTTAATATAAGTGAACTCTTTAATGATTTAAATTAAAAAAATGGAAAATTTTCATTCTAGCAACCTTGAAACTAGTTTAGCATGCTAAAAAATTTTTAGCAAGGTTTACTATATCATTAGTTGTGATTTCAGTTACCTGAGCAGATAGAATAAAACATGTAAACAGTTAGAACGTAAATAGTATGAAATTGTATTTAAGTAGAATAATACAGCAAAAACCTTATATAACACATATTAGTGAGCAACAAGCATCGAGTTTAGCAGTCGAAACAGCCACGCATTAAATACATTCGAAGTAGTAAAGTGCTACATCTATAACATTTTAACTAAATATTTGGAAATACCACTGTGTACGGTTTTATTTACATCAGCTGCTTTGAGTTCCCAGGCAACTTTGTAAACAAACTCCTGACTGTTTGATTATTCTAAGCTTATACAATATATAATAATGTCACAAGATTCATCTCCACAAAAAAAACGCTATTATCAAGAGGAAAGAAAAGAGTCTGAAAATGAAGACGACGATAAATATCAACCTTATGTGCCGGTTAAAGAGCGCAAGAAACAAAAACTTATGAAACTTGGACGTATTGTTCAACTAACAGCAGAAGCGGCGTCACAAGGAAAATCTTCCAGCGAAAATGAAGGAGATGAAGATTCACAAAGTGCTGCAGATCCAGAAAATTGGGGTCGTAAATATAATATAAGTTTACTTGATCAACACACAGAATTGAAGAAAATTGCTGAAGCGAAAAAAGTAAGCGCAGTGGAAAAGCAATTAAAAGAAGAAGAAAAAATTTTAGAAAGTGTTGCGCAGCAGAAAGCACTTATGGGTGTAGCTGAATTGGCGAAAGGTATACAATATGAAGATCCCATAAAAACAAGTTGGCGACCGCCACGTGCGATCGCTGCAATGTCAGAAGAACGTAGAAATGCCATACGAAAACATTTACGTATATTGGTGGAAGGTGATGATGTTGCTCCACCAATTGCTAGTTTTCGGGATATGAAATTCCCAAAAGGTATATTGAACGGTCTGGCAGCAAGAGGCATTAAGCGCCCAACTCCAATACAAATACAAGGAATACCTACCGTACTGTCAGGACGAGACTTGATAGGAATTGCTTTTACGGGTTCTGGAAAGACTCTAGTATTTGTGTTGCCAATCGTTATGTTTGCACTCGAACAGGAATATCGTTTGCCATTTGTGCGAAATGAAGGGCCTTATGGTTTAATTATATGTCCATCACGTGAATTGGCCAAACAAACACATGATATAATAATGGTAAGTTTTTACATATATACAGCAGATTATATGAAAATAACGTTATGTTGTTTGTTTTTCTAGCATTATAGTCGTCATTTAAAAGAAAGTGGTATGCCAGAGATACGTTCTTGTCTTGCAATTGGTGGTTTGCCAGTGTCAGAAGCTGTTGAAGTGATATCACGTGGAGTGCATATAATGGTTGCCACGCCTGGTCGCCTTATGGATATGTTGGACAAAAAAATGGTGTCACTAGATGTGTGTCGATATTTATGTATGGATGAAGCAGATCGTATGATAGACATGGGTTTCGAAGAAGATGTGCGCACAATATTTTCATTCTTCAAAGGACAGCGTCAAACGTTGCTGTTTTCTGCTACTATGCCCAAAAAAATTCAAAATTTTGCACGCTCTGCGCTGGTTAAGCCAGTTACAATCAATGTGGGCCGTGCTGGTGCAGCCTCCATGAATGTTACTCAAGAAGTTGAGTACGTAAAACAAGAAGCAAAGGTCGTATATTTATTGGAATGTTTACAAAAAACTGCGCCACCCGTGTTGATTTTTGCAGAAAAAAAGCAAGACGTCGATTGTATACACGAATATTTGCTATTAAAAGGTGAGTTGCAATGTTCCTACAAAAACATATATTATTAAATAATCTTTAATCCTACCAGAAGCTGCAGGTTCCTAGATAGGCTTCTAGTTATTACTATTTATTTATATACATATTTTTCAATATTTTTAGGTGTGGAAGCAGTTGCTATACACGGTGGTAAAGATCAAGAAGAACGTTCCCGTGCCGTTGAAGCTTATAGAGATGGTAAAAAAGATGTACTTGTCGCAACTGATGTCGCCTCAAAAGGTCTTGATTTTCCGAATGTGCAACATGTTATCAATTATGATATGCCAGATGATGTGGAGAACTATGTGCATCGTATTGGTCGTACGGGTCGCTCGAATACGAAAGGTTTAGCAACAACTTTTGTGAATAAAACAACAGAACAATCTGTTCTATTGGACTTAAAACATTTACTCATTGAAGCCAAGCAAAAGGTGCCTGAATTCCTTGTTGAACTTTGTCCAGAAGCAGAACAGTACCTTGATTTGGGAGACTCACATGGTTGCAGTTACTGTGGTGGCTTGGGTCATCGTATTACCGATTGTCCTAAACTCGAAGCTGTACAGAGTAAACAAGCATCGAATATTGGCCGGCGAGATTATCTCTCAAATACTGCTGCTGATTACTAAATACGCTTTAACTGCGTAATTAATTTAATTAATCAAATTACTGATAAGTTCTGGCACAATACCTGCAATATTTTGTATGTCGTTGATTTTTTGGTATGTACAAATGTAATGTATCCGTTTTTTTGTGTGCGTTTTTTTTAAATAATAAGACTACATAAGTCGGAAAACAATTCTATTGAAATCAATAAATTTCAACTGAATTTCACTTCAATTATCCCAAAATTTAAAAACATTTTTGTCAGATTTATTTTTTTATACAAGTAATTTCCAAGAAAAATTTTAAAATACAATTAAGTAATATATATTTTTCTTGCATAAAATAATGTATATGTGTTATTTTATTAACAATAAAAATCGATGAATGATAATTTTTTTAGTTTTGGGTATTAATTCTACAACACATAACACAATACTACAATGTGTTAGCGGTCGTAAAACGATCCTTGTTTCCTGGGACTTCTATATTAACTTGATCTAACTTAAAACTATATTAAATTAAAATTTTGGGTAGTATCTCATATATAGGTCTCTGACATCCTTATTTTAGAAAATCAGTTATAGTTAATGGTAGTCATAATATGATGGGATATAAACTTAATAAGAAAGTACATCACAATGTGATAAATAAACATACTTATTAGCTGGAACTAGTAAATATTCACTAAATTCATTAAAGCAGATCTAATATAGGAACATATTGTAGTTTTGTGTATCCAGATTATAAATTTTAATGACCCTAAAGAATTTAATAGTTTTTTTGTACTCTGTCTTTAACTTATTCAAATAAAATTTTATCCTCTTAACGAATATCTTTCTTTAAGAAGTTTTTTATTGTTGTTATGGACAAGAGCTTTGAACATAGGCTCGTAGCCAGAAACTTATTTAGAAGGCGCTTATACAAAAAATCGAAAAATGTTTGAGTAATCTTTTAGATTTTTTTCGATAAAAGTTTGATTACTGAATCGAATTTACGGCAAGGGTCAATTATATTCCCAGGTAGAGTTCTTATTCCTTTCCTTTTCATGACAGAAAATGATCCGTCAATGCTGGTTGTTATGATAGTTAGAAAAATTAAAATCGTAAGAAGTTTCATCATTCTAGCAAAATAAGTTCAAAACCTCAATGGGTGCATCAATTTCCCACACTGTAATTAATACTTGATTTTTACCGCAGTTAACTACATTTTATCATCGATGTATTTGTGTACATGAAGCTTGATTCAGGGGGTCTTCAGTAAGGTCAGTAGCTACTTGCTTCCCCGTTGAAAAAAATTGAAGAACTATATATTTATGTGTGTATTAATTATTAATAATAATTTTTAATTTTTAATATTATTAACTATTTAATTGGATACAAGTTATTCTAAATTACAGAAATTATCTGAAAACTAAGTAAATTTTTGACTTCTGAACTGGCTCTTCAGTCTTATAAGCCTCTTCTTTGGCTAAGGATGGTACTTGTTTGACCCATCATTTTTTCCTTAACCTAGAGATCATAGTTACATAAACTATAATAAAGGACCTTAACTTACTCAACGAGACAGCATTTTGTAAGATCAGATTGGCCTATTTTGTTAAAATAATGGCATAAGTTGAATAGGTTTGCTATGTAATCCATAGTGACTTTAGCTCTATTCTGTTGAGGGAATATGCTTTTCTGTATTTCATAATATATAGTTGATGTACTATATTTAAAGTTATTAATCGGAGTATAATGTGATGATTATGACTAATATTAATATATGACAAGTTTGTTTTTAGGCTAATCCTTATAATGGTTCGTTGGTTGGTTGCAGTGACAGGCCATTGGATAACTTTCATGTATCTCAATTAGCGATTTTTCGCCGTTTTGCTACTATATTCCTCGCAAGAACCCTAGTATAGAAGAGTAGAGACTAAATTCATCCCTCCGAATTTAGATAATTTAATACGACTTTTGTCTTCACCGATGAACAGCCTGATAAACTATCAAAGAAGTATCTTCCTAAAAACTATATCTTCTGGACGCCAAAGCCGGGCATTTACAGAGAAAATGTATTATGGTTTCTTTCTCCTGCGGGTTTCCACAACTTCTGCAGTGAGAATTATAGGGAGTGCGCAGTTACTCTGCGTGGGTTTCCACACACTATTGACTTATTTTTGTAAAGATTTTTTAATATGATGTTTTTGATGCGAGCGATAGAAATTTCGTTTTTATTATTTAAAAGGAATCACATCCTGTATAAATGAGAAATAAATATACATATATTAAATAATGTATACACTTCTTGGGCATTATTTACTTTTTTAATATGTGCGATTATCTAATTGTAGTACAAATTTTTAACAAACTTGACTTTTTATATATTTATGTCAACATTTTTTTAAGAATTTAACATAAACAAAAAACTGCTGATAAGACTACTTCAGACCTTATCATTATTAATCCACTCTCTTTAGTTCATTCAAATGTAATAGTATATCGCTACTAAAAAACTCGTATGGGCTGAGCAAAGAGTGTACTTGTATTCCAATTTATACATAATTTTGCTCCAGCATTCGATGTGCTTAGCTCAATAAAACTGCTGTCAAAGTCTTGCCTCTAAGTCAGTGTCTCAAAACTTGTCGATCGTCTCAGAGCAAATACGGAGTCGCGCTTGTCGCATGTGTCTACGCTTCATTAAGTGTAAATAAATCCAAAAGTGTCGTTTGGTGATTAATTTGTGATTTGTAAACAAGAAGCATTCGAAATCAATAGAAAAATTCAATTGTGTTAAAATTAAAATTGAAATAATAATTTAAGAAATATATTTAAATTGTGCCCGGAAGAAATTGTAGACGTGATTTTCTTGAAACTTGTGATTTCGGATTTTGGTGCGAATAGAAACTCTTCCTCGAACGCTGAACTAAACAGGTATTTTATGTACATTTTTACGTACTTTTGATTATTTACTGGATGGTTTTTGTTTATTTCATTTATCCTAACGAGTTTATATCGTCTTAGAAGATAGACGGCTTCTTTATGCTAAATGTTGTGAATCTATTTATCGGCTTTAACGCTGGTGTCATTAATAGGTAGCCACTTAACTAATTGATTCTAATTATCTCTAATTAGTAGCTGCTGCTTTTATTAAAATGTTTGAGTTTTTAAAATAAATACTTAAGTTTTTGCTTAGGGGCAATTTACGTTATCATGGGGATGTAAGATAATGTTTTTTAAAATAATTGAAATAAACTGAAATTGTTTAAATAATTGTATCATTGAAATTATATGATTATTAGAACTTAAAATAATTTTTTGCTTTCACAACTTTTTTGCCCCTAACAAATATCTTCGTCCGTTTATTTGCATCTCGAATAAGAGTGAATAGTGATAGAATATGCCATTAATTTATTTAATTAAAAAATTTGAATCACAATAGATGATATAAATAAGAAGTGCATTTTTAATTTAGTTAAATCATATTTATATTGTAAATTTTTGGTGAGGTATTTTTATCCAAATTGTGGTCAATTGTTATTTCTCTGTCACTTTTAATAATTTTTTTGCGAATTTCCTTGTATTTTTTTGGTTACAAAAGTTAATTGGATAGCACCGAAATTGCTATATTAATCGCAGTAATATTTCATCTGAACAACACGGATATATTCTTTAATAAGCACAATGTGCAATTTTTGTCAGTTATAGAACTTCTATCTATTTTTGTTATTTGTTCTATGAGCATTTGTTAAAATAAGTGAATATAGAAATCCAAAACTGTACTCACAAAATACCCGAAGGACCATAACTTGCTTATAAAAGAAACAATATATGGTCACAAGCCCCATAGTATGGAGTAATGCCGTGTAACTAAAGTGATTCCAGTATTACTCGTAAAGTCACTATACAGACAATGTATCGAAAGTGCTAGATGACACTAATTGCATAAACGAAGTTTAAGAGTATGCCAGCGAACACACTCCTGTACACTCCTGCAAGTATCTATAATAAAATTACGACAAATTTTTATAAATAGAGAAGGTTTTTTCTTTGAAATTGTATGATTTTTTACAATTAAAAAATTTGAATTCTTAATAATCTTTTAAAAAAAATAAAAAGTTTAAGCTATAGTTTCCTGGTTATCTTCATTTCATTATGCAGGTTGGAATATTCAATATTAAACGAAAAAGCTTTAAGTTAAGAAACTCTTAATATCTTAAATGTCTTTCATTGAAATCATTACTTCAGTAGTTTATCAATCATTACTTAAATCAATCATATCATTACTTGCGTTACTATGAACGACTAACCACCGTTCTTAACTCCATCACTCAATGATCTCAATGATGTCGCCCATCTGTTTTCATGTCTTAATGGACTTATTTAATGATGTTTGGTTCCTAATTCTATCCGATCCTAATTCCAAACAACTCCTATTCTTTTCACTATCCCTCTACCTAACCAATATATATAACCATACCTTATATATATATACATATGCGAAGGACCTAGTTCTCTAGTTAAAATTAGTTAGCTAATTTCACTGTTAACTCACAAACAATTAAATAAATAAATATATATTAAATTGTATCTTCTACAATATGGATCTACAATCGGATTATAACAACAACAACCAATCACCGTTTTTACCTGTCATGACCTTGTATGATTTTTTTTGTAGTCGAATCTAAGATTACGAATTCAGTGAAGGTGTATCCCGTTGATTGTAGTCTTAAGAGAAATTCACTGAAAAGGTTGAAGGTCATTTCTCAAACAGTCTATCAGGAATGTGTGGAGAATTGGTATAAGTGATTAGTATTTTATTTAATAAATCAGTAAATTATTTATGTAGAAGATATATATAAAGGGTATTGAAATTTCGACTAAATCAAATTTGATCTTCCAGTTAACGTTAAATAAAAAATTTATATAGATTTTGAGGGATTGTTTTATTTTTATTAAATTTCGCCACTTACAAGAAAAGTATGTTTGAATTCTTATCAGAAATGCCATATTAGTTATCTAAGGTTGTGAACTAAACTGTTTAGTACTGAAGTAAGGCTTATCATCGCCAGTTTTATTTACAAAATAAATAAAATTATAGTATTAAAATATTTAATACAGATTACATTATATTATATTGTATAAGAAAATTATTATAATTAAAAAAACAGCGTGATACTGTATAATATATATGTAAATGTTAGTTTCTAAAATTTTATTAATTTTATTAATTTTTAATGTGCTTATTATCACATTAAAAATTTTATTTTAATTTTATTATTATACTATTTTATTCATAAGAATATGCAAAATGTTTTAATTACATTTATATTATCTTTCCAAATGAATGCATTTAAGCTAATTTAAATACAACATCGGAACTCCTAGCTAGTAGTACTATAGGTGTTATGAGTAATTAGTGAAAGTAAAATTGGTGTCGGACTTGCTGTTCAATGAGCGCTACTAAGAGAATTTTTATAAAATGAACCTGAGTTGAATTTAAAATGAGTGCAATTCTGAATCAATTTAATTTAATGCATTTACAATGAAAATATGTATTTAAAAATTATTATTCCTTTCACCCCACTTTATGTAAGTCAGGAAATTATAGTTCGCAAACGTTTGCGTTTCAACTCAATAATTCATAAAATATTTTAGCTTTTAAGGCTGAGTTATTTCGTTTTTGCTAGTGTAGATACAATGGAGGTCAGTGTCAACATTTCAAAGCCACAACAAAGTCATATAGAGATCTGAAGAGTCTTAGTAACTACGCGAAAATATTAAGATATGAGTTACAACAAAAGCAAACCTTGTTTACAATTATACAATTGTGCTAAGTTAAGACAAAATGCATATAATCGTGGTCTTTAAAATTTATTTTTTGATTTTTATGTGATTTCACGTAAACCCCAAGTAACGTATCTTAACTATTTATTACTTCTCGGTTGTTAAAACTTTGCACGTCCTATGGCGAGATTCCTTGATAATGGCTCATACATAAATTATGTCATTTTATGTATTGTGTCTGAGATACAAATTTACCTATATGTATATGTGTCATATACCATATTTATTTACTTTATTAATTATTATTTTACTTAACGCCTTTAATGCCGCTGGGCAAAATGTACTGATGGATTGAATTTCTCTACAGTTTTGACTTACAATTATGGTTATTATTTTGTTGTTAATTAATTTTGAAAGAAAATAAACTAAAATAAAAAATAAAAAATATGCTAAAATTACACAGAAATTGTCAAAATTTTAATGACATATTTTTTTTTTTGGTTTTGTTGGTTTATGACTTTTTATTTTGAGTTGTTCGTGATCCACAAGCGTTTTGTAAACGAAACTATTCACTCGTTATATTTAACACATTGCAGACATAATTTTAGCAGATCTGCGATCTTAATAATTATGACCGTCTGACTATTTGAGGTTTTGCATCTTAGGTATAGGTATAGGTTGGAGTGGCGGCCTTGTGTCCCAAAAAGCCCACTTAAGCACAAATAAAGGCCCGTTGTGGTACCACAGGAGTAACGTTATTTGTATATGGATTTAATCAGTATACATTTAACGCCGAAAAGAAAGGTAACGACTCCCCCATTATGCAAAGGAAAACCAACCTGACAGTTCTATGAACTTGGCTAGGTCCCTAACATTACAGGATGACAACTCAGTCAGGTCAGTTAGAAAAGGAGATCCAAGGATTTTTAATCTTCTTCTGGCTAGGGAAGGGCACTGACACATGAGATGGAGTACAGTCTCCTCCTCATCCTCAGAGCCACAGCCTCTACAAAAGTCATTAAAGGGGAGACCCAGTCTCATAGCATGCCTTCCTATTACGCAGTGTCCCGTAAGCACAGATACCGTAGTGCTGAGCAGGTTCCGTCTTAGTTGAAGTAGCTGACGGGTTCTTTTCTTGTCAAAGTTCGGCCAAGTCAACCTAGAAATCTGACATTGAGGTTCGTCAGCCCAGTATTGCTTGGCTATACTCAGGTATTTTTGTATGATTGCCAGTTTAACTATAGCAAGAGGGACGCCTATATCAGAGAGGTTAATGTTAGGGAGAAGAGCACCTGCCTTGGCTAAATCGTCTGCCCTACAATTTCCTGTGATATCCCTGTGACCAGGAACCCAAATAAGTTTGACCCTAACAAACCTAGCTAGGTCATTTAGTGAAGCACGGCAGTCTTGAGTTGTGATTGACGTGGCTGAGGTGCCCATCAGTGATCTGATAGCAGCTTGGCTATCAGAAAAAATTGAGATTGGTAAATCGGATGTTCGATTGCAAAGAACCCATTTTACAGCTTGGTGAATTGCCATTATTTCGGCTTGAAAGACGCTACAGTGGTTCGGAAGTCGGAGCGAGATGCTGAGACCCAGTCTTTCAGAGAAAATGCCACAGCCGACTCGTTTATCTATTTTGGAGCCGTCCGTGTAAATGTCAACCGTTTGGAGAGGGATCGCTCTTTCAAGGATCCAGTCCTCCCTGCTAGGTATAAGAGATTCGAACCCCCTAATTAGGTCTGGGTAACAACACATGTAGTCAATAGAGACGGGAGTTGGCAGATCCTGATTCAGTATGATCGCGTGGCCTATATCAGCTCTTGACCAGCAGGAAAGGGCGTTGAGCCTAGTTGCAACTATTTTGGCTTGCTGTTTTACCAGAAGCCGAGATGGCAACCAATGAAGCATAGCGAAAAGAGCTTGCGTGGGAGTAGAGCGAAGAGCACCAGTGATTTGTAGTGCGGCTATCCTCCTAGTTTTGTCAATTAATTTGGTGTGGCATGCTTTTTCAGTTGCTTGCCACCAGAAAGCAGCCCCATACAGAAGAATTGGTTCGATAACAGCTGAATAGAGCCAGAGTATAATGCACGGTTTGAGCCCCCAACTACGACCTATAGCTCTTCTGCAACAGTAGGTGGCGCATACCGCTTTGCGGGCTCTCTCAGCCAAGTTGTCTTTCCAGCTGAGTTTAGAGTCCAAAATTATACCCAGATATTTGACGTTCGAACTTAAATTTAGAGTAACGCCCTTTATCTTTGGTAAGGAAAATGTCGGAATTTTATATTTCCTGGTGAAGAGAATAACCTCTGTCTTTGCAGGGTTAATATCCAGACCGAATTCCCTACACCATTCAGTTACAATGAGGAGCGCAGAGTTAATAACATTGGATAGAACTTGGGGGAATTTGCCAGATGAGGCAATAGCAATGTCGTCCGCATAAGCTATAACACTACATCCGGATTGTTCCAAAAGTTTTAACAACGAATTAACCGCTATGTTCCATAGAAGAGGAGAGAGAACTCCACCTTGTGGCGTTCCCCGACAGACTGCTCTGGAGGATTGAACACTTCCGATGTCGGATGTGATAATCCTAGTTTTGAGAAGGGCCTCTACAAATTTAACCAGACTATTGTCGAGATTTAACTTTGAGAGGGATTTTATGATACCATTGGGGCAGACATTGTTGAAAGCGCCCTCAATATCGAGAAAGGTGGCAAGTGTGAATTCCCTGAGAGAGATGGAATGGTCAACTTGCGAGATGAGTGCATGAAGCGCAGTATCGACAGACTTGCCTTTAGTATAAGCATGCTGTGATGGAGATAAGAGCGCTGGGTTTATCTTGTTCCTGATATGCAGATCAAGAACTCTCTCCAGTACTTTCAGAAGAAAAGAAGACAGACTGATTGGTCTATAGTCCTTGGCACTGCAGTGAGTTATTTTTCCTGCTTTGGGAATGAATATTACTCGAGCCACTCTCCAGCAGCTTGGAACATACATAAGCTTAATACAACTGTTGTAAATGCTTAGAAGCCAGGGGAGGATTACGAATTCACCCTGTTGAATATCTGCGGGAATAATTCCGTCCGGACCTGGAGATTTATACGGTTTAAAAGTTTGGATAGCCCACTTTATTTGAGTGTTGGTCACTTGAAACGGATTAGGATTATTTAGAGGGGGTAAGCTGATTTGAGTTGATAAGTCAGCATCAGAGGCTATACTCCCTGGGAAGTGCGAGTCCAGAAGGGTGTCGAGAGTTTCCTTACTGGAGTTGGTCCATTGACCATTTGGAGCCTGGATACAATCGAGTGTCTTATGGGTAGAATTGAGGATTTTGCGCAGTCGGCTTGACTCGGAAGATGATTCTATGTTGCCACAGAAATTTTTCCAAGCTGCCCTTTTGGCCCGCCTAATGGCGTATTTAAATTCTCTTTGTTTCACTTTATATGGAGTCCAGTTACCTGTTGATTTAGCATCGTTAAAAAGTTTTGTACAGGTTTTTCGGAGGTCTGCAATATTCAAGTTCCACCATGGAGGTTTGGGTTTGCCTCTAAATTCGGGTGGCTTGCAGGCCGCATTTGTGGCGCATCTAAATGCTGATGTGAGAAGGTCAACCGCTCGATCTATATCGGAACAGTTGAGAATAGTGGGAGGGTCCAACTGTAAGTTGGATTCCAGGTTGGCTCGAAAAATGGGCCATACAGTACGTTTCCTATTTATTGGTTTAGATGATCTGTTCATTTCAGGGTTCTCCACAAAATTTAGATCAAAATTAATGTACCTATGGTCAGAAAAGGAGCAATCTTGCGATACGGACCACTTAGTAATAAAATAAGAGAAGTGCTCGCTTATCATGGTGATATCAAGAACTTCCCTTCTAATTGAGTTCATGAAGGTTGGCTCCCTACCTATGTTAGCGATCACCAAGTTTCCTGCAAGAATGAAATCAAATAAACACTCACCTCTCGCGTTTGTATCTGTGCTACCCCACATCTCATGATGTGCGTTGGCGTCAGCTCCTATGATCACCGGGATCCTCCTGTTATTTGCCTCTGACACCAGAAGCTTGAGGGAGTCCTGTGGCGGAGTGGCACCGTGATCGTGTGCCATATATGCTGAGACAATCCAAAGGGCCTTGGAGTCGTATTCGATGGCCATGGCTACATTGTCATTGTCACTGAACCTAGGGAGTAAAAAGGCATTAATGTTATTTTTTACTAGAATGCAAGATCTTGGTTTACCTTGACCTTCTGTGAATACTAACCGATAGCCGTTTGTATTCCGTCCACAAACCCGATTGTTTACAATCCAAGGTTCTTGGATCAGCATTATGTCCTCTCCTTTTTCAGCTAGGCGGAGGGTAAGGGCTGCCGAAGCAGTTTTGGAGTGTTGGAGGTTAATTTGGATGACCTTCAACAGCTTAGTTGTTTTTCAACTATGGTACTGTCCAGTTCATCCTCATCCGACATCGGTGAGGTCTCCCGGGAAAGCGCCATACCTGTAA